GACGTTTTGGTAAACACATTCCTGCGGAGGGAGCTGGTAGTAACGTTGGGTTGCTCGGTCAATGGCCAGGGTCAACGGCGACGTGGTGTATTCCGCAAATATGGCCGACTGTGAGGGCGGGCACAAGCCGGCGTGAGTAGGTTAAACGTTGAGTTTTATAAGGGCACCACGGGGGTGACCAGCCCCTCCCCACCCAGCCCTACCCCCCACCCAGCCCCACCCTTCCCACCCAGCCCCTCCCCACCCTCTCCACCCAGCCCCACCCCTCCCATTTTTGGATGCACGACGGACGGACACAATAATCCCCTGTGGGCTGGTGTAACCAGGAGGTTCCTACCAGTATTATTATAGTGTTGTTCACTGCGGTGAGATAAGAACAACGTATTCCATATTCTGTAGTATAAGAGATGTAAACATGTTTATAATGGATGCAAAATATACTTTACAGCCACGCGACTATAACGTTTGACCATTTGAGCTCACTTTTTTGTAACTCTAATTTCTATAATCATAGGGGTTCTTCCTCTGTAACTAAAAGCTTGATGTACATACATATAAAAAGATGCAGGGTCACTGCACCGTCATCTACAATACACCTGTTTTGAGAGCAAATGGCCAGCCAACCCACCCATCACCTAACACGATAAAAATTTCATGCTAAGCGAGCGTGACATATCTGGGGTGGGTGGGTAGGTGGGGGGGATCTTGCCTTTTCTCTCTCTTTTGGGAGGGAATATCTACAGGAGAGCTTCGTTGTAAGTCTTATTCTTAAATGTGTGGAACATGTCTCTTTTGGGTGTAGAGTAGTCCACGAAGTGAGCGCCGCTTCATCCTTTTTGTTTGTTGGCAGCTTTTTTCTTGCTCGCTGTGCCTTGGCTGATTCAAGAGATGTGGGAGGAATTTTGTTAAAACATTTTTAGAATCTCTAAGTAGAAGCCTATCGTTTCCTTTTCATCACTCTGAGCCACAAATACGCATTGTGGGCCTACTTTAATACACGGCACTAATGATGGGTGCTCATGAATGTGGAATGAAACATTTTCGAAATGATGACACGCAACACTGTTCTTGGAAACGTTTAATGTTTTACAAAGTTTTATGGCTGCTACATAATCATACTCACGAAGGCCAAGAGCAAAATAATGAGTTTTCCACACAAATATGGCTTGTCAAGGCTACCCTTTACCAGAAAGAGATGGATGCTTCCTCTTTTCTTGAAGCTCATGGTACAAGCATATTATTGTGGTGTATTTTGATGGTTTTTAATTTGGGGAGAATGATATAAGGTGCAATACAAGTTGCAGTAAATATGGTGTGGGCCAATAGCTGTTTGAGTGCTATATGTGCAGTTTTTAAGGAAGATGCGTACACATTACTGCATTAATAACATATGTACCCCATATTGCAGTAAACATTTTTGGAATTACAAGAGGAAATTTGTTCTTCCTTGAAGTAAGTAATTGAAATGTTTGACCTAAATATTAAGGGCTCAAGATGTGGCACAAAATGATTTCTAACAGAACATTTATTGGATTATCAGAAATAATGTAATGAAGCTTGTTGAGAAATTCAAGTGGTTATGCCAACCTGAAGTAGAAGATATTTGAAGGAATGCTTTCGGCCTGAAATATTAGCACGTATAATCCTCATCCATCATCGAGAAACTAGCAAAGGGTAATTTTCTCTTATCCCACTAATGCTAAATGCATGGTACAGTAGTTTTCATTCACCGTACATACAGTGGAACCCACTTAATTTCATGCTCTTGGATCTCAAAAATGCATGACGAAAATGGGACCTGACATTAAATGGAGTCAACGCAGTGTGGTTAGGTACCAGCGTGTGGTTCTTTATTTGCGAAGTTAAATTGGGGGAGATGTTAATCTGGAGTGATATTTATTGGTGTTTCTTATTCCATTAATACTTCCCAGTGTTTGTCTGGCATAAACATACTTTGATGCCAATCAAAGATAGACATTCGCAGAAAAATCTGGCCTGGTGACTCAATGGTAGAGTGAGGCAGCTCGCAAAGGGAAAGTTGCCAGTTCAATTCCTAGTTGGGGGTTGACGAAGCACATCATGTCTCTGGAGTACATAAAATAAGTACAACTTTGTGGGGAAATCAACTGTGGTTCTCACCCCCTGCTATAGTAATGTGGTAATTTCGACCACTGGCTGTGAACAGGTGAGCGCTGCCGTGATGTTCATTTGAGCAGGAAATCACAGTGACTTCTTGAGCATGTTCAGGTGAATGGCTTTTTACTCAGTTGTGCAAACATGCTTTGCATAATAAAGCAAAACATGGATCATAGCTGCTGCTGCTGCATAATCTGTGTTTCGTTTTGTATATGTATGCATATAAGACAAACCCAACATGAATAATACACAAAGTCCGACATCCATGCAGATTTGCATTCAGGCAGCACTGCGTTTGAGCCATCTCCTTCTACAATATGCATGCAAATACTAACATCCAGACGCGAAGGCAATGCTAAAGTGTGGCTATGTTGATTTATGTAATGTAGGTGAACGATACATAGTCAGGCTCAAGGCATATCTATCCTTTGACAAGATACCTTATGTTGTGCAGAAGATGTTCAATTGCAAAAGGAACAACTTCTATATAAAAAGGAAACAGCAATATGACGGACATTTTCATCACAATAAATGGTCTGAAGTCAGAGCAGGCTAGCGAGGCTTGGTTGGAGTAGGTTTCATGAAAGCTGAACAAAACTGGGTACTGAGAAAAAGACAGCCAACTTGTCAGTGTTTACAAGGTGATATTTATAGTGGAGAACCAATGTGTTATATACATATATTTCTGGACACAATGAAAACACATCTCATTCATGAGAATATTTAAAGAACGTAAGTCCTTATATTTTTGCTCTCTCTTGTACATGTACAGTAAGACTTGTGAATCCACTGTTGGATGAAGGCCTCTCCATTGCTTACAGCCACCGAGCCAGTAGTGGAAATTCCACACTTCTATTGTGTGGACGAATCTGTCTCCAGGACAACCACAGTGACTTGCCAGCAAAATGATACCTATTTTTATCGACCTTTGAGGGATGATGCGCTTAGTCAATCCACATCCAGGATTTGAGCTGGCAACGTTCCGATTACAAGCCACTAACTCTACCACTGGCCCTAAAAATTGCTTGCTCATGGCATTGCTGATTGGAAGGGCCTCCCCTCGAGGTAGCTCTAAGGGAGCGCCTCTATTTGGCCTACTCTTCCACACTGGTTCGACGTCTTGGAAAAGGTGGGTGTAGCCACACTTTACCCCACCACACACGACCTGTCGATTGACTAACATGTGGTATGAAACAACAAGTAAATTATGTTAAGTCATCACGAGAGATCAATGCTATGGAAAAAAATACGTGTACTTTTTTAAGGGAATGCTTTCTTTCAAGATTTATATATATACTGCAATATGCACAAGTCAAAGGTAGTTTTTTTTTATTCTTCTGTGGGAAGCGAGCGTGTCCGAAACACCATTTTGTGTGTTACACGCGTGCATGAAGTGTGTGGTGTGTTAAGGGAAATGGGGTGAATTAATTACTAAGCATTGCATTTTTGGCACGTATCTGGATTATTACATCTCTCTTGGCCCACGCATAATCAATCATAGGAATGCGAAGGCTACTCCTTTGCATTTTAAGCACACTGCCCACCATGTTGCACATTATTTAATTATGCAGGTTTACTTTAAGGTGGGGCACAATGAAAAGTGTGGAGTTAATTAACAACCGGACAAATATATTTATGTGAAAGATGAACCCATGGGTTGTCATTTTAAACAAATTCTCCAAGTCCACCAAATTTAAAAAGTATGTACGTTATACTCACAACCCCCAGGAGATCACTGAGCTCTCGTTTGTCACGTGTATCATTTAAAACATTGATGTGCATACCTAAATGATTACAGCCTTAACGAGTAACTTTTAATACATTCCTGCTATTGGGGGGAAAACGTGAGTCAATATGTAAAATAGATTAAATATTAGCAAATGAAATGGAGTAAGCTTATTAATATTCACGGGTAATTTAATAATAGGCCTAGGGCTAAGTGGGATGTGTGGTAATACTGTATCAATATACCAGTATTGATCTGGACCACAATGCCAAATATGGTTTAGAGGAAATTAATGTTCACAAATGCATACTGAATTATCAGAGTATGAACCTTTTGCATGATTGTCTTTAGTAGCTTTAGGACACAGAAACTATCAATACCAGAATGTCCGGAGACATAGTTACAGCTGTTGGGGCACCTTGTAAACCACTGAAGTAAAGTTAGAATAAATTATTAAACAAAATGCAAAGCTTTGTCTCCCCCTTTGTTTCAACATTCCAGTCAATGTGTTCCATCCAACAGTATTTTTTTTACACAAAATGTGGATGCATAGGTTTCCAAATTTTTGCAGCGGATAATATAATGGGCACATTGCAATTTCAAAAGTCACGATTTCATTTAATTTTCAGAACGTTTCCATTGTGCTTTCTTATAAATATCCATTCTATCTAAATGCTTTATAAATTCAGTTTGCCAAAAAAATGGCAGTTGTAATGAACGTAGTAGTGTTTGCCAAGAATTAAAACGAACTGTTTGAAAGTTATAATAATAATGAAATAGTAATTCAAGCATTGCTGCCATAAAAAAAAAATGTGCATGGCATATTAACCAAGCTGTTATCACCAAAATATAGGATACAGATACAAATATTTCACCCACAAAAATGTATGTTGAGTGCAAACTTGTTATTGCATGGACATTCATGTTATGTTATGATTTGTAAAAAATAGTGGTGTAATGTTACTCTCATCTGGAATGCACGCATCGCCTTCCGTAATGCTTACAATGCGTGACAAAAAGGAAAGAACCCCCGACGGGAAAAAAAGACCAAACACGGTGCTATGAAATAAAAAAATATAAAGGGCCACAAAGAGAACAGTTATGGAAAAGGCATAAGTGAGCTGCAAGGCAATCATACCTGACAATCCCTGTTGCCCATGGACTGCATCATGAATGCTGCGTTGCCATTTCCCAGCAAGTCCCCAGCCTCGGAGTTGGATGGCTTGTAATCAACGTAGTACTCCTGCGCCAGGATGGCTCCATCGTGTTGCCGGGTAGCCTTCCCCTCTATCTTCCTGGCAGGTCGCCTACCCCGCCGCGCTTGCAATGTCTGATGCTGCTGATGCTGCTCGCGTTGCTCCTGCCCTGCCAGTGAACCTTGTGGCTGCAGTTGCTCCCCGAGGCTGGCCGGGTAGCGCTTCCACGTCACATACACCACCAGCAGCATCACCAGCACTGACAGCACCAATGCGACGCTGCCGGCCAGAATTTTGTAAAGTGATGTGTGCTCAGAATCTGAGCCCGTTTCCCAGCTTTGAGATGGAAGTGGGGATGCAGAGGTTGGTATGGGAGTGGAGATAGTCGTCTTGGTGTTGCCTGGTTCATTGGTTGCTGCCCGGTTTGTTTGAGGAGGAAGGGTTATTGTGGTTGAGACTTTGGGTATCTCAGCCGATGAAACTGTTGATGTCCTACATATGCCATCCTTAAAGGCCACATCAATTATACTTTGCCCCAGAAAATTTTGAGGGCTGCCACACCGCATAACTCCTTCCTGAGTTCCCTGGAAGGAATTCAACCAATTTGCAATGGAACAAATATTTTGATTGCATTGCCAAGAGTTCCCAGCCAGATTAAGTGAGCTCAGGCCTGTCCAGGCAGACATGGTTTCTGAGCTGACAGCAGCCAGCCTATTTGAGTCTAAACGAAGGTTATGCAGTTTTGACAGTCCCTGGAAAAAACCTGGCCCAATCAATTGTATCTCATTGCCCGAGAGATCCAGGGTTTGGAGTGAGCTCCAGGTCCATGCCATTCCCTGCATTAGCACGCTAATGCGATTCCATTGCAGATATAGCGTCCTGAGGCTTATTAAGCGTGGGAAGTGGGCCAGGTTAAGCTTTGCAAACTGGTTGTGCTCCAAATGAAGCTCCGTGAGCCTTCCTAGTCCCGTGAAAGCATTGCGTGCTAACACCCTCAGCCGGTTGTACCCCAGGTCTAGCAGCTCTATCGAGCGACAATCTTGGAATATTCGCACGGGCACAGTGCGCAGTTGGTTGGATCGCATGTGGAGATACTGGAGCTTGCGCAGCCCTCGGAACTGGCCGGCCTCCAACATTTGCAACTGATTGAAGGAGATGTCCAAGCTGCGCATGTTGACAAGTGGGTGAAAGGTGGCATTGGGGAGGCGGATTAGTTTGTTCGAACTCAGGGTGAGCTCTTTGAGACGGCGAGCCCCGATGAAAGCTCCTTCGGCCACCAGCTGGATGTGATTGTGGTCGAGGTAAAGCCACGTTAGTTGTTTCAGCCCGGAGAAGTGATTCTCCGGCAGACTCTTAAGGCTGTTGTAGCGGAGAGATAGTCCGAGGGAGCCGGTCGTGATGTTCATTGGGATCTCTCTCAGAGCCATGGACTCGCAGTACACAAACTTTCCCTCGCAGCGGCAAATCCTGGGACAAGCGCATTCGCCGCTGTGCAGCGCAATTAGCAGGAGAGACCGGGCCAACACTGCAAAGGGTCCGATCCACAGCCTGAACACGCGCAGTCCTAGAATTACAAAGATAACGAATTCTTAGATATGTCGAGTGGCTTGTTAGTTCGAACCACAGCACTACGTTAAAGAAATGTATCCGATGTCCAGGTCGTATCCTTTACACGGTCAAGCAATGAAATAAGGACAAAGAGCGAACTTGGAAATGTACTAGTTTTTCGTTATTGTTGTTATGCTGTAAGATGCTATTTTAGAACTGTGGCTATGCACAGAAAGCTACTCAAATATATAAGTAGACAAGTCACGAGTATAGTGAGAAGTGAAGAAAACATACAGATAGCAACATGAGGGTTGGGACATTTTAATTGAATGTGTACGGTCCGCAAAGAATAAGCACTTGTACGCACCATTTAATTACCATTCATAACAATGTTTGCATATTAAGCATATACCTTAGAGAAAGCGGTTGCAACCTTAATGTTCGTCAAATCAAGAACACACTGTGTATATAACTACTGCCACAATAATGTCTGGTGGACACCGCGTTGTGTTATTTAATGTTACACATTAAATACAAATTACTCATACTAATTTATAAGAATTCTCATTTAGCAGAGACCTACTTAAAACACCCGAGTCTGACAATGTACTTCCGTTCTTGTCAACATTTATAAATGTTTGATATTATTTAAGGCACGCAATTTTGTTCCATGTAGGTCAATTGTAGAAGTACATTCCCCCCCTCCTCCTCCACTATATGTACATCTTGGAGCATTGACGGCAGAGATAGTGAGTCTAGATTTTTGCTTGGCGTGCGATAATATATTAACAGTTTTAAGCATGACATGCATGTAAATGCGAAATGCTGAAAAGGCCAAGAGACCGATGGGAGGGGGTGGGGGTGAAATCCTCTTTAAAAACAACTGAATGCCGTAATTGTTAAACGAGAACTTACCCATTTCTTCCTTCTTGTGACGCCCGATTATAGCCCGAAAGACATTTCTCCGGAGCCGTACTGCAGCAATCGTCCTCTGCGCATTACAATGCAACGAGTCGTCTTGCAGGTGACATTTGTTTTCCTTTTCGTAAACTTTTATCGGCTAAGCCTCAAAGAGCAGCGGTGGAACGGTTTCGTGAATTCCCATGCACAGAGAGCGCGGACTACATCCATTAAAACGTCTTATAAAACACATCTAGTTAAACTTGATATTAACTACTATTCCATGCACGTTTTGCCTTATTTTGCATCGCCTTTTCAGCGACGCATCCCACTGCTCCGACAAAGGAGCAAACATTTCTTGATTACACCAGAAAATGCATTTGATTTAAAATCAAAGACAGCGAGCGATACAGAGGAAAAACATCTCTTCCGCACGTTTTGCTGTCCCACATCAAAACACCGAGCAGGCCCAAAGTCCCCCACCCCACCCCCCCGCGTTAAACGTCCTTTTGCAGTAGCCGTGTGTATCAGCTGCAGCTTGACGCTGTGGAGTAGAGAGAGCTTCCTTTCAAAGAGAGCCCGGCACTGGAGACCAAAATGCGTGCGAGCATATGCGTCTGCGTGAGTGTTTGGGACACGCCTGCCTGCCTGCCTGCTCGCTCGCTGGGTTTGACCAATACAACGACTCCGAAAGCCCTCTGAGCTGCAAAGCTTCAAAACGCCGCCTCTTACACGGCAGCCAGCCGGAGGCAGTGTTGTGCAGGGCGTGCGCGCACCACACCGTCGACGTTGGGCCCTGCGAAGAAAGCGCTCCCTTGTTCTCATTTGGTGCGTGGGTGGGGGTGGGGGACCTTGCGCAGTGGCTGACCTCCAGCTAGAAACAGGGCCATGCTTTCTGTCGTGAAGAATATTTTTTTTATCTCCCCCCACCCCCACTCCACCCCATATTTTATATTCTTCGATTAAAGTTTAGCGTATGTGTGTGTGCGCCTGTACTTGATTTGCATATTCTTTGGGTCTTTCGGTAAAGTCACGTAGATAGGTAAAATATATATAACAAAAAACTACGACGTTTCGATCGCAACACATTTTTTGGAACCTATCTATGTGACTTTACCGAAAGACCCAAAGAATATTAATTCCTGCAGTCACGAAAGCTTTAAGTCAAGATTTGATTTGCATCGTCAGACCGAGCGATGTCGTTTTTTGTCGTTGTCACGGAATCTCTGAAATGTTTCAAGCTGACAACACGCAACCCTTGTTTTGCGTGTCAGATGAATGGCCATAGGTGTGCTTTACTAATGCAGTTTGTGGATACTGTATGTGTTCAGTGCTAACGATATGATTTTGTGTCGAATCTGTTTGATCAGTGCACGAAATATGATTCTTGGGTCACACGGCGTATCATTATGATTACGCGCGCTTATCACCGTTTGTGTCCTGTGAAGTACTTCATAGACGCAAGGGTTTAAAATTATGATAAGCTACACATGGTCATTTTATTATACACAATGATGCATTGCACAAGCAAACATAAAAACAACAACATGTGCAATGTTGTGCATTAGACAGAATAGTCACCTGCAAGGAAATCACAGAAGTCCATAATATTGCATCGTGCAAAACACTGCATATAAATAAGGCAAAGAGATGAAAGATATAGTATGGAGTATATGTATTATAAATACCTCTACTCGACGCTAACTTTGAAATTGTAAGCTGAGAATGCCATTTGGGACCATACTAATGATAGCTGTTCAGCGTGTGTCCCTCAGATGCCCCCAGTATCTGTTTTATTGATTGGAAGTGTCTGCCCTGTGCAGATCGACGTGAATGCAGTGACCGGCCTGTGTCGTTGGGCTGACTAGTCCGGTTTGAGCAATGCTGGAGAGCCTTTTGTCTCTTGTTGTGACACTGTATCCTTATTGAAGCAGTATGTGATGGATAGATGTATTTTTAAAAAAATCTGATGCAATCCGAAGCCTTTGTACATGTTTAAATAATTGAAAATTGTAATACAATTGTTGACACGTAGGCTAATCCTTATACATTCAGTGTAGTAAACTAATTATTATTATCGTTGTGTTTAGAATTTGAAAAGTTTGTGCAAATTACACTGTAGTGTACTCGGGGCTAAGTGTGGTAGCTCACTGTTTGACACTCGACGCTACGAACTAGAGTTGTTAAACGACAATCTGCTAATTAATTATGAGTTTCAAAAGGTCAGGATCTGGTAATCGTTTTCAGTGGAACTTTAGTTATGCATGTGTAGTGTCAACGATTGAGAGACAAAGTTTATAGGAGGCACTTTCTTTATAAATAACTTACACGGTCTCGTCCACATACTCTCCACAGTAGCTTAGCCTAGCCTGTACACAATACTAGCTGTCTATTACTGATGGCGCTGACTGAGATAGCCAACTACTATCGTTCGTGGCGCAATATCTCGCAGAGATGGTAGCGACGACGGCGATGAGACGACAGCAACGACGAGACGAGTCCACTCTCAGAACCGGCAGCCTCGAGCTACCGCTCTCAGCTCCTTTAATGCTACCAGCGCGGCCTGGCTCCGCCCTGACCATGCCTCCCTTTCCGAACCCGCTAGTAGGTTCCAGGGGCCTCCAGATGGGGTCCTCCATGACCCTTGCCCTAGTTCTTCCTTTCTGCCAACACACCGTGCGCACCCTCACCGGCGTGTGTACTGTCTGTTCATCACAATTTCCGCTGCTGTCCACCAGCCAGCGCTATTGCACTACATCACCCCCCCTTGTTTAAAAAAACATCTGTCCTGGCTGATACACAGCAACTCAACTGGGTGGACAGACAGAGCAACTCCCACAACCGAGGAACATAAAAACACCAAAAAACCCAACAACCATCCTAAACCATAGTCGTGATACTCCCCGCGAACACCTCCTCCACCCGAGCAAGTTGACGTGCGCACAGGGACACAGCACAACCGCGACACCCCCCGTGAACCGACAACACAACAGCCGTGACACTTGGCATGCAGCGCATGCAAAAAAAATCCCTATCAACAACAACAACCTTTTAGACAAAACACGCAGCACCATACAACCCCTTCTCAGCACCCATTACCCCTTAACACGCCATTGTCCCCCAATCACACAGTACAAGTGAGAGTCCGCTTTTCCGGAACATTGCTCACATGAACCGGGTCCTTGATGCCGGTCCCTTGCCTTGGGCAGGATCTTGCACTTCTTGGGGGGCTCCAAGGAACACAAAAAATGGCCTAAAGCGTGTGGCCCCTCCCTGGATTCATCAGCCGAACTTGACCTGGCTCCAGCCTCAGATCTCTCACACACGACGACCCTGGAATATTTTTTGGCATCAGAGGCTTGGATCCTGTGGGGCTTGGGGAGCAGATGCCGGCAGGGTGGAGGGCGTCCCGCTGATATGCCGGTACTCTCTTGCGACGTGGCCCAGTCGACCACACCTGAAGCAGGTGGCCGTGGATCTCCAGGGCGGAAGGGGCTGCCATTCTCGCCAACTTCATCCCGTCGGCCTTCTGAAGAAGCCCCTCCCGTATGGCCCATAGCCATACACCACAGCCACCATCTCCACCTCCTGGCACATGGGCCCCTGTGCCTCGGCGTCCCCCATCCAAGCCGCCAACTTGGGCCATTGCTGCATGATTCGTGGGCCTGAATCCACCGGGCCACCTTCAAGGATATTAACTCATCGTCCTCCGTGAACATCAGGACGATCACCAACTCCTGCACCAATGATAGCAGCCTCTCCACTGCAAGGGAGTCGAGCACTGTCCAGTCCATGTGGGGATACACCTCCTGCCTCAATGCCAGCAGAGCGCTATGAAAGCGAGAGGCGTCTCGGCCTCCTCTCGTTTCCGCTGCAAAAATCTCCTGTGGGTGTTGTACTGCGGGTTGAAGACGGCCGCCATTTAGGCATATTCCAGCTGGAGAGTTGACTGATCACCTTCTGGGATGGCCCAGAACACCGCCAACACATCGTCATTGAGGGCCTTCGTTAGGGCTCACAGGCCCTCCTCTTCCATCCACCTGATGGACAACCAAGCTGCCACGAAACAATGACGGAACGCCGTCCAATCGCCTCCTGCCGCCACAAACTCCCGAATAGAAGGCAGCTGTCATGGTCGGCATGCGGCTCCTTGTAGCACCGCCTTAGCATCGTCCCGCTCCGAATGGTGCCCGCCGGCCACGCCGTACCCTCCGCAGGCAAAATGCTGCCCAGCAACCACGTGGTCTCCGCCGCAGGAATTGCCATTAAAAGCGGCAACCCTGACGAGACCCACAGTCCACGCCAAATGGCACCCACTGGCCACGTTGTGCCCTCAGCGGGCGAAATGGCGGCTGGCAACCGCATGGTCTCTGCTGTGGGAACCACCGCTGCAGACAGCAGCTCTGGCAAGCCCCGCGGTCCACATGCCATCCCCTGGACGGCAGGCACAGACGCGGAGAACTGCGCGACCAGATGGCCAATGGTCACGAGGAGCAGGTCGAGGCGGACAACCACCTCGAGCCACTCATCCTCAGCTCGCGACTTTAGAGGATCGGTGCCCCTCTCCGCAGCCGCCGCTCAAGCACCCACTGGATTTGTAACCGGGGTCCCGAGTCCCAGGGCTGTCCGAGGGATGACCGTCTCGTCGTCCTCGTCCTCTAATGACACTATGGGTGGGCTTCTTTTCCTGGATACCTTCGACATTGCGACTTATACCCTAATGGCTGTCAAATTTTCCAACCACGTCTGACATCAGCTGTACACAAGACTAGCCGTCTAATACTGACGGCGCTGACTGAGATAGCCAACTACTATCCTTCGTGGCGCAAAATCTTGCGGAGACGGTAGCGCAAACAGCGATGAGACGACAGCAACAACGAGACGAGTTCACTCCCAGAACCGGCAGCCTCAAGCACCTGCTCTCGGCTCCTTTTATGCTACCAGCGCAGCCTGGCTCCGCCCTGACTGCGCTTCCCTTCTCGAACCCACTAGCAAGTTCCAGGGGCCTTCAGATGGGGTCCTTCGTGACCTTTTCCCTAGTTCCTCCTCTCTGTCAACACACCGTACACACCCTCACCAACGTGTGTACTGTCTGTCCACCACAGTTGCCACTGCTGTCCACCAGCCAGCGCTATTACACTACACATGCACCAAATGGCATGCACGAACGTACAATTGGCACAGTGGCCTAAGTCACAGCATGGTACATTTGCCCTAATTTATCAGTTAAAAGGTTAAGGGTGCAATCCTGGAATCCCTTACTTGCTCATACCACTGCTGGCGGAAGGGCCTTTACTAGAGGGAGCTCTAGAGAGTATTTGGTAAGACGTCTTTGAAGAGGTGGCTGTACCTACACTGCCCATCAACTGTGGTGTTACCAATTGATACTGCTGGGTGGACAGAGGTGGTGAGGGAGAGTTAAGGAACTTTCAACTACCATGTTCGGAGATGGAATCGAACTAGCGACCCTGTGGCAGCTCCCTTCATTTCTCAGTTAAAATAGTAAAGCTATTCCATGTGTAGTGACGACAGGGACGGTCGAGCTTGAGGCAACACCCGTTTATTAACACTTATGTAGGTACAGCTTATAACTGAAGAGGTAGCGGCCTCTTCACCCGTTTATTAAGGGTAAGTACTCCCAGGCTAGCTCCCACTTATTCTCACACGCGTCCTCTCAAGGAGACTACCTGATCTGGCCCTGGCTAGGCA